ACAATTTCTATTTTCTTTTTTTTTTTACTGCGTTCCCTTTTGGCAGAGGAGAAAAATATCTAAAATTGCGGCATTGCGAGAGCGTAAAACAACAATAACGAATCGCACACAGAAATGGGCCAAAGAGAAAGAAAGAGAAATTGAAATAAAAGCCGGGAGAAAAATTTTCGCTTTTTATTCGTTATTCGTTATTTTATATTTGTTTTTATTTTTTATGTATATATATATTTGTATTATTTCCAGAAGGCAAGTGGGTGGAAAAATGTTGTTAAGCTTTAAACTGCTGGCGGTCTCAAGATGTGAGAGTAATTGAGAACAAATAAATACAAGTGCGCGGGGGGGGCAAATGGGAGAGGGGGAACAGAGACAGAGTGTCGGTGGAAGATAAAAGAAAGCCGAAGCAGACGAATTCCCAACGAAATGTGTGAAAATGAGGCATGAAATAAAGGAATTAATGAAAGAGAAAACAAAAAACAAGAGAAAAATATATAAAATAAATCAATAAAAAAAGTAAAGAAGAAATATTTAAGAAGAATATTTAAGAAATAAAAAAAAGGCAGACAAAATACTTGCACTAGAAAAAGATTAAAGACAACGAGGGAGAAAAGACAGTCCACTGGAGGAAGGCCTTTAAACCGGTAGTAATAGCAGGTCTTTGGGGCCGCTGGCAGGATGTTCATAGACAGGAATGGCAACCGACACAGGCCCAACAATAAACAATTCAGGTTCCTCTAGGTTATGAGCGATTCGACCATAAAAATCATATCGAACTCAAATCTATTAAGACTTGGGGTATTCTTTCAGCAGGTGTCACTATAGATAGTGCTTGAAAGGCTTTAAAAATAAAACAGTTCGAATTTATGCAGCATCACCAACGAAATTTGGTCCTTTAAGACGGATTCATCATTGATCTGGAGAATAGAAGCTAGCAGGCACTCTTGCATGGAGTAGGATTATTGGGAAAAGACATTTAAGAGTCATTTTAATTGGACGTTGACATGCAATGAATGCATCTTTCAAGAGTCGATACAATTACTGCAACATCAAGTGGCAGTTGGCATCAAGTTTGCAGGTAGAATCCACGAGGAGAAGAGAAGATCCAATCTTCAGCCAGGCGTTAGGGTCTGCTTCCACTGGTTGTCCTTCAATGCCATTCGGGATGGAATTATTAAGCTTCTGATGGCCAATCATATGTAAACGTAGCCTGATACAACTCCCAATCGAGAAGGAGGTTGATGAACCCTTAGAAACAGCCCATAAATATACATCTATAATAATATTTGATATTCAAACATCTTGAAAGATGTATTACTGACTTTAAGTGAGATTTCCTGGTAAAAGATACGACAGTGTCACAGTACAAACGTCTTATTGCTTTTCTTAGTTGCTTTTCCATCGGCGCACATTTGCATGTTCCAAGACTTGCCTTTGGGTTTATCCACTTCGGCTCTGCTTAACACACTCCACTCTACTCCTCGTTTGATGTGCCACTTTCCAGTGATAAGGTTTCACAATTTGCTTCCCATTTGCACGCACACTCACAAATAGATACAGATACAGAGACAGAGACAGATACAAGGATGGGCCTGCTGCTCAATTTCATTTTTACGCTCACCAATTTCTGTTCTGTTCTGTTCGTGTTTTCCTTTTTTTGTTTGCTGCTTTTCATTTGTGTTTTTCCTGTACATTTGGTGGAAAACATTTGCCAGTTGTTTTTTCGCATTGCTCTTTTGTGTGTGTGTGTGTTTTTTTATATACTTTCTCTTCGTGTTTATAGTTTGTCTCTCCGCCTCTTGTATCTGATGTTTATGCCATCTCTTTCGGAGGATGATGATGCTGACATAAATCTTTGATATATTGCCATGCAGCTGCTGGACTAATAAATCCTGGGCCTCTGTCGTGTGTCCTCTGTCGCCTGTCACTTGGTTTCACTCATTCATTCAGCCCCGAAATCCTTTCGCTTTTTTTAAAGCTCAAAAATCAAATCAAATTCGTGGGCGGCCCCCGTTTTACAAAAGTCATTATAGAACAAGTGTTGGCCGCTCTCCCAGCGGACACTTGAGCATAATTAATGTCCTGCCACGCCCCCCGCGCCAAACAGGATGTGGCGACCGGAACAGATCGGAACCCCCCCCCCGCCACCACCAACAACCACTCAAAAGAGACTCGACGCAATTGTCGCTCCCAAATTAATTTGTATAATTTTACAGTCGCAATTGGATGGCGCTTTGGAGGGGAGGGGCGGGGAGGGTGGAGTCGACACAGCGGTGGCCAGCGAGACTTATTCCCAGGAGGCAGGCGCGAAACCCTGCGGCATTCAAATGAAGTTTCGTTGGCGCCGAAAAGTAGGCAATTATTTTTTTAGGCCAACAAATGGACGAGCGAAACAGTGGAAGATGGAAGGTTAAAGAATAAGAAAACCGAAAGGAAGAAAAAATAAATGTGAAGCGGAAAAACCATGGAAATGAGTTTAAGAAACGGTTGCTAGCCAGGCCAGTGGAGATACACTCGGCAAAAGACCATTTCAGTAGAAGAAAATATTACCAATATTATATTTGTATTACAGTTTTCCCAGTGTAAGAAGATAAACCAAGGAAAAGTGTGGCCTCCAAAGAAGTTTCACCCCCAACCGCCACCTAATTAGTGGCCGCCATGCCGTCCTCCTACCGTCTTTCAGCATCCTCTCGCTTGGCCACTTTCAACCTGATTAATATTTAATGGGAAATCCCATGCCGCACCACTCTATATATCGATTCTGCTATCAATTGCTATCAAGATGTAAATGCAACTACTTTCCAGATGGGGCAGGGGGGCTTCGCATCGATGCTGCAACACTTGATTGACTTTCACAGCACATTTATTTTGAAACCTTCAGGCAGCCGTTGGCCGCAAAGCCAACTTTTCAACGACTTGGCTCAACTTTAAACTGCAGCCAATGGCTACAGAAAGCAATTCGTGGCTTACACAGAGGGGGACACAGAGGGAGAGCTGGTCACAAGAAGATGCAAGAAGTTTTTCCCCTCCAAAAAAAAAAGGTACAACTTTCCAAAGACGCGAAGAAAACTCAGAGGCAACCCTGGAGCGGTGGCCTCAAGTTATTTAGTGCCTGCCTGGAAAAGGAGTGCACGGCGACCGTATCTATTGAAAAGCAAGTGTTTCCACCTTCAGAGAGTTTCCGCTCTCCACCGCATGCCAATAAAATGTAATTTCCTGTGATTCCTCTTTTGTGTGGCGAGCGCGGAACTTGCAATTGCAAATTGATAAATACATTTAACAAGGCGCTGCGGCAAATAGTAGATACATCTTCTATATCCCCGTACGATAGGAGAGTGTGCACGTTTCACCCTCATGATTTGGTATGCTTCAGCGATTTGTTTCGCCTTGTGTGTGGGTGCGGGTTTCCACGCTTTTCCTTGCTTCTCCTTGCTTTTCCTTGGCCCGGGCCTGACCCAATTTACGGCACTTTCGATCGCGACACATGTGGCACACACAATGCTCCCTTATAGGCAGGTTCCTTTTCCCCGGCCTCCCCCCCCCCCCCCCCCCCCCCCCCTCAATTTTTATTGCTGCGGCTTTTGGGGTCGGGCGCCTGGCAGTTGTTTTCCAAGTTTTGCATAGCGTAGTTTTCGGATTTTCCAGCTCGGATTTTCCACTCTCCCCATCTCTTATTCACTCGCTTCTTTGTGGAACTTTTGGGTAGAACATAAATCACCAGAGCATAGTTTTTATTTCAAGTTTTTTTTTGTAGAGGGAAAACCCAACTAATTGTGTGTGCCTGTGTGTGTGTCAGGAGAGTGCCAGTGTGTGCGTGTGTGTGTGTGTGTGCGTGTGGATAATTTGTTGCTCTCACTTCGGTCTGGCTTTAAATTTATTGTTGCTGTCTTGCAGCAAGTGTCAAATGCAGACGACTTCAACAATCGCATGATAAACGAGCAAATGTTGCCACCTTCCGCCACCCACCGCCACCCACCTCCCCTCCTTTCCGCACTTGCAGCGCAGCTGCAATTCTTCCTGCCACATCCTCTCCGACTTTTGTTGCACTTTCCCACTAATTATGTCTGCTCATTATTAACCCCGATGTCGAGCCAACAAGGAAACACATTTGACATCAGACAGCAGACAGAGACAGCCAGAAATAGAGAGAGAGAGCGAGGGAGAGAAAGGAGAGAAAAAAAATAACCAGCAAAAGGTGAAAATAAATTCCACTCACTTAAGCAAATTTGACAGACAGGTTTTCCATTAGCAAACATGCTTTTGTCATTTGCGCAAATTAATGCATGACAGATGGCAGGGGCGATGGTCGGGGGTTAAGTAAGGTCCACGAGGGGTTAACAGTGTGGGACAGAGAGAGAGGGAGATAAAGCACATGCTGCTTATTTTGGCATTCACTTGGCCAGCTCTCAAAGAAGGTCAACACTGTGTTGGCCCTCTGTGGCTAATTTATTATCTAGAGAAGAGTGAAAGAAGTCGCTGGCCTTCACTCACTTGCATAATTTGTGGCTGAAAGTTATAGCGAAAAGGTAATCTGGGGCTGGCTTAAGCCCTAAGTCCAGAAGCCCAAGAACATGGAAGAAGCAACTACTTAAAGGCTCTATAAAAAATGTAATTTTAATCCAAATAATAAAGATCCCCAAGAGTTTACTGTCAATATTATTCTGAAGGCATTGAACCTTTAAAAACAGTCTTTCGCATGGCCATAAGATAGGTTCTTTTATATGGTTCTAGGAGGCAACCCCAGGGCCACTCGCTTCGTTCAACGACCACCCAAAACTGGTATCTACTTTGAGGAACAATTCCGATACGATCTACCATTAGATGTACTCCCTGACACCTAGCTCTCAGTGTCCTTGCTCACTCTAGAAGAGAGCCCTTAGGGGGAGAACCAGGACCTAGCCCAGGATCAACTGACGCATGCCTTTGTCCTTCCAGCAGAGGGAGCTCAAAATGCTATGATTATTATTTAACAATCACAAAAATCAAGGAATAAACGAAACATTTGGAGTACTACTGCTTCAGGGTCTGGTCCACAATGGAGTCCATCAGGGGGCCGCTAAGCTCGGTGCGGAGCGCGACATTCTGGCACCAGCTGCCCTGGTACTTGTTGTGGATGGCCTTCAGCTTGGCCTGCGGTGCATCGCGCACCAGTCTGGCGATCTGTCGAGTGATGGGCCTCAAGTGCGTGGCCGTGTAGCGAGAGTAGTGGGCCAGCGTTGGGGACCAGTGCTGGTCGTCGAGGCCAGTGCCGGCCCGGGGGTTGCCGTTGAGCAGGTGCAGCGACAGAAAGAGCGAGGCTGCAGCAATCTCCGAGGGCTTATAGCTGGCCAAACCGTAGTCCATCGCAGCCAGCTCCACAAAATAGTTGGCCATGGCCTGCTGCTCGACCTTTGTCCCAGCGGCCTTTGAGTAGCGCCGCAGGAAGTGAATTGGCAGCGGACGCGAAAGATTGCAATCGATGGTCTTGAAGATCTGCAGCTCCATCAGACGGATCTCACGGGCCGAGTAGGTGTCTTCGGTGAAGTAGACCAAGTCTTTGATGGCCGGCGACAGCTCCTCCTCGTACTTGGCGGCAATCAAGAAGGCCGTCACGCCCACCAGCTGCAGATTGCTGCGCTTCGTATTCGCGACCGCCTGCAGATAGCGATCGATGATGGCCACGGCCAGCTGGAAGGTCTCCTCAACCATATGGAACTCCTGGTGCAGCTCGTTGATCCAGTTGATTAGCACGGCTCGCATCTTGTGGGTGATGTCCTTCTGCCCGGCCAGGTGATCCTTGTGAATGGGCAGCTCGATCTCCAGCTGGTACAGATGGTCGTAGATATCGTTGACGTACTCCGAGACCAGCTCGAGGTTCTCCTTGTCGTTGGCATCGATGTCTGCGATGGAGGCCCCTGGCTCTGGACCGATGGCTGCCTCCTTGTTGGCCTGCAGTTCAACCAGAACCGCACGCTTTGTGGCTGCCTCACTTGAAGGCACTTTTAACTTCTTCACCTGCATCTGGTCAGCATTCTCCGAGTCGTTCTCCTCCGCAAGCCTTTTCAATGTTGAGCCAACCATTTTGATTGGAGATTTTAGACACACACGTAGCGACGCTTCAACTTGATTTGATAATATAATTATATTCGTTAAATCAGTAGATAGATTTTAAAATCAAAGGTGACTAAGTTTCTGATTTATTTTCTTTCCAAAGCCAAGCTCTAAGGCTTCTAAATATTTTTATATTTATTCTTTGCAGATGTTAAAACAATAAACTTTTAAAGGAATAGATTTTGATTTGTTTCTGGCATCCTCACTCTCTCCCAGGTTAACAGGAAGCCCGCCATCCATCGTTTGGCCTGTCGACGCTACGGACTCCTCTCGTGGAGTGTTGGAAAACGTTATGCGTATTAAAGTTACGCCAAGAGGTAAACAGTCACAGAGACAGTTGAAGAAACTTCTGCGGTTTGTACAGCAAACAACTTGTCCTTCGTCTACTCTCTGCCTCCCGTATATCCCGTCTGCGACTTTGATTTCGGTCTCTCTGGCCACATTAGACATGCAATTATCAATGAAGCATAAACCATAATTGAAAGATCAAACGCACAGGCAACGTCTGCCACACTCAGCCACGAGGCTGATGTATCTCTGTGTGTGTGGGGGGCCTGTCTGTGTGTGGCCACATTTGTCGCAACTTTCGCTGGCTGGCTGGCAATAATGATAAAAGTGGCAGCGCAAAAAAAAAACACAAACGAAGGCGTAAGCGAAAAATGTTCGAAGCGTAAATAAATTACAACAATAATGACGCCAAACATGATAACAACAAATGGTAAATGGCAGCCAAGGAGGGGTGGGTGGTTGGTTAGCAGGGAGGATGAATGGAGGCTGCAGGCGACAGGCGATTGTTATTGATCATCGCAATATTTTGCGCATTAGGCAGCCAAACATATGCAGCATTCCATGGCGGAGGAAAGAGATGATACACTGGCCAACAAACAGGAGGGGTTTCCCTCCGCTCTTCGAAGGAAATGTATAGCTTTCTCTCAGTGCAGGCTAAGGGCTGGCCATAGACGGCGAGGACTTGTGCCAGATCGTTACGACTTCAGGACTTACATATATGTCATGGCTTTTTATCCATTTGGCTTGTTTACGCAAAATGGAGGCAGCGCACAGCAGACGAGCCAAAGGATAACATTGTCCTACTGCCACACAGAAAGTCCTGTTGTGTTGTGTCGTAAGGGGGCGTGGGCGGGGGCGGGGGCCATACAAAGTCCTGAAAGTCCTAAGCCATTAAAGCATATTAGTTTTCCCCGCTGCCATATTGTGTGTGTGTGTGTATATCTGTATCTGTGTGTGTGTTTCTCCTACGTATTTGTATGCGTATTTATTTTGGGGGCATTTTCGTTTACGCCCGACTGCACAATAAAAGTTTTTAAAAAGGGATTTGACATTGTTGTTCCCAGATATTGTTTCTGTCGTTTGTTGTTGTTGTTGTTCTCCTCTCGTAGTTGACGCCATTTTGGATTTGCATTGCTCTTTGGTTTTTGCGCCTCTCTCTCCCCTGCTTTTCCTTTGTTGCTTTGCTGGCTGATTGCCCAGCAGTTGCTTGGCTTTTTTCCGTTTTTACGACACAAAACCGTTTTGCATGCAACAGTTTTGTTCACGCTAAGCGGCTCACAGCGCGTATACGCAATATTCGGTAGTCGGCTTTTTGTACTAAATCAGTTTAAATGGCATGCAAAAGCGAAGCAAGGGGATTGCGGATTGTTGGAGCAGAATTTTAGAGCAGGAAAAGTGTGAAAATGGACGAAAACTACTCAAACGGATAGGAATTTAATTTTTTATGCATTTTTTAGGCCTGCTTTTCGTTTCATTTAAGCTCTAGTATCTGCAAATCTTTCTGCTATGGGTAGATTTATTCTCCAAGCCTTCATTATACACCTTCCCCTTCCCCATCCATCAACCCCCTTCACACACATCCTTCTCCTCCCCCCTGACACACACGGGACATTGCCCCACAGCTAAATAAGCAATCGGTTCGTGCCCCCCAAATATTTCTGAGCCATTGAATCTTAATTAACTAATTAAAATTTGCTTATTTGGCAGGGCTTTTATCCTTTCATCACCCAATTTTAATAAGCAATTAGGGCAGCAACCCACAATTTGACAAAGAAAACACGCAAGAAACAACAACATAACAAAAGTGCAAAGAGCGTAAAAGGAGAAAACGCCAACGTCGAAAGGAATGCAATTTATTTTGGTAATAAAAATGCATTTTTATTACAAAATCATAGCCAGGAAATCTAGCGCACGAAGCCAGTGGGATTTATGTGGCATTCATTATGCTGCCGCAGGTGGAGGCTCCAGCTTCCGCTCCTCCTCCCCCTCCTCCTCCTCCTGCTCCTCCTCCTGCTCCTCCTCCTGCTCCTCCTCCTCCTCCTGCTCTGCCTTTTTCACAATGCAGATACATATCTTTATACACTGCAAAAGAAAAGGCAAAAGAGTTGCTTCTTCATCCATTTTTCCATTTATCACAATTTCCCCAATTATTTTGTACAGCAATTTTCATCAAACCATTGGATGTTTTCTCCCCCTTTTTTTTCCAGTGTACATCGGGAGGAGCCTTGTTTTGCCAGCCAAAAAATTTGTATTAAGCTATTTGCATTTGGTTTTTACTCGTTTTCCCCCACATTCCCATTGGTTTGTGTGTGTATCTGTATCTGTGTGTGTGTTTGCTCCACAGTATCTGTATCTGTGGCTGTGGCTGTGGCTGCTGGTGCACCTGCAACAACGCATCGCAGCGTGGGCCACCGAAAATTTATGTATAAAATATAGAGCGCCAATAAATGCGATAAACTGACCCGCGGGCGGCTTTACCTTTGCCCTCCTCCTTTTTTTTCCCCACGTTTTTATCCATGGGCTATAGGCATCCATCTGCAGTTGTTGTTCTTCTTCTTTTTTTTGGGGCCGGTCTGCAGTTTGCATTTAATCCCCATGACCCATAATAATTTGTGCAAATTTATTTGCCAGTGCTTAGTGATGGAACAGTGGATGGGAGGGGGGGATAGAGGGGGGCTTCCATCTGGCGTCTGCCAGATATCGTGTAAATAAAACAAATTGCCATAAATAACCCTGCTGGCTGCCATAAATCTCGGTTAAATGGACATTTTTGCATCTTCAAATCGTTGTCGAGTGCCCGGCAAGAGACACACGACACAGGATACAGGATACAGGCCACTGGACACTCGACAGCAAAAGAAAAAGAAAAAAACAAAGCCAGAAATACGGGTAGACTCTCTGCTGGTACTTGAAACAAATCAGCAGAATGATAAAATGCCTCTAGACAGCCCAGGGACATGAATAGGGGGGGGCCTGCTGTCTCCAGCCAAGGTCGTATCTTTCAGATACAAAGATACAAAGAGCTCTTTGCATCAGATTTGGGCTAAAGTTTTTCCTCAAGAAGAAGTTCCTTTTTCTGGGGGAAATTATAGTTTTTTTTTTTCAAAAGTTGAGTATCTTTAAGGTGTATTTCGACTACCATCTCTAGAGCTCTAATGGGAGTCTCAACGACACACTTAAGCTTACTTCTACTTGCATTTACGAGCAGTTCTTTCCCCTATCGTATACCCATGTAATCTTCCTAATCTCAAGCGTTTATATACTCAGTTCCTGCCATAACATATCGATACGCACATTGAATGCACTTAACAATCAAATTCGAATTCCGAATCATATTTTAAACAAATCGGATTTGGTTAACGTTCCAAACCCCACCCGCAAGCCGGCTTCCATTGCCGTAACGTTATACGAATTCAATTTGAAAATAATAAAAATATCTATTCAACTCAGTCGCAGTGGCAGTGGCAGTCGAAGACCCTATATTGCTTCCTGCCACACCACCGCCCCCACCCGAAACACGAAGCCTGTTGACTATGATTCCTGATTATGATTATGACTTCAGCCAACAAGGACCTCACGGAGGGGGTTGGCGGCAGGGGCTGGGGTACGAGACAGCAGCACCTCGTACTGGTTGTGTTTTGATGTCGTTACCAGACATTGAACCGCATTAAACTATGCATAAATACACATTGCGTCGACGACGACGACGACGACGACGACGACGACGACGACGACGACGACGACGACGACGACGACGTTGTCGACACATATGGCCCGGCCCCTTTCCGCAAAAGGAACTCTGTGGCAGCTCCTCGACGACGCTGGGCAAATGCAATTTGATGCAGACATTACGACTACATGACGATTTTATCGTCGAGTGTAGTGCACAGACATAAACATATATCTACATATGGCTTACGGAATACGGATACGCGGTACGCCGGCACTCCCCGGCCACTCCACTCCCCGGCCACTCCACGGGACTCGACTCCTACTCAGCTTTCAGTTCTCTGGCGCATATAGTATAACATTATTGCATACGCAAATACACACGCACTGCTGCACACACACGCACACACACGCAGGCAGACACACACAGATACACAGATACATATGCATCCGTAGATAGTAGAAAGAATCTTGCACTCGCCGCGCTTCGATGATGCTCTTAAATATTTGCATAAAAAACTACGGAATATGGTAAATGGTCTAGAAGTTTTTGTGCCCCGCCCACTCCCCCCTCCCTCGTAAGGCTCCTCCTTGGTACACTCGTACTTCTGCTGCCATTAACCGCAACAGCAGCAGCAGCGATAATAATAACATACACGCTCCATAATCAACACATACTTAACGTCCTGCCGCCACCAACGATTCTGGCCAGGATTCACTCGTTTTCGCACTCGCACTAGCACTCGCACTTTGGGCAACATCTCCCACAGAGATTTTGAGTGCAGTTTTGCCGCTGAGTGCAGTTTTTGGCTAAGGACCAAATGCAAAAAGATAGTTACAGCGAGCACAAGAATTTCTAGAGATGGCTCTTTGGGGAAATGAGACATAAGGACATAAAGAGAGGGGAGCCAGAATGATGTTTCTTCTACTAGAATTTAGATTTCTTGTTTAAAAATGTTCGAATATTGGAATTTGTAGGAGAAAAAGTACTCGTCGTCTCATGAAGTGCGTAAAATTAAC